CAAAAGTCCTTTTCCGGAAAAACTATTCCGGAAAAGAGGCAGTGTCGACAGCACAGTAGTCTTTTCCGCAAAAAAGCCCCGATCGCGAAAATGACGATCAGAGCTTTTTTCCGGAAAAGCGTGTCTACATTGGCCACGGACGCTTTTCCGGAAAAAGTGCTTTTCCAGAAAAGCATCCTGCCAATGTAGACGTGCTTTTTCCGGAAATACTTATAACGGAAAACTGTTCCGTTTTAAGCATTTCCGGAAAAGGGTGCCAGTGTAGACGTAGCCCTCAGGTAAAAGGTTGACTCTAATCTGGAATATATAAATCACAGGGGGTAGAGGGAGGAAGTCAAGATGTCCTGACTTAAGATAACAGGGAGAAAGGATGAAGGAATTTGAAATCCATTCATTTTAGTGAAAGGGCTAGTGCTTGGGCAGCCACTGGAGGACTGATTGTGACTTTAAGGCACAGAAATAAAGATATGACTTAGAAAGAAATACCGTTTAGGAAAACCAACAGTGATCCAATAGAATTAAGTAATAAGATGGCTATCTAATTGGAAGGGCTCTTGAAATGGTGGATGAACATCAGAAGACAATATTCCTTCAAGCTGTCACATGCCAGGGGAATCTCAAATGTATATATTCCTTACACAGAGTACACGGCTGAATTAAATCCAAGAATTGCTGGAGTGTGTTTGGCCTCAGAAACTGGGCAAAAACATTAAAGCAGATATGAAGGTCAGCTGTCATTGGCAGCAACTCTCTTCCAATTTAGAAGGAAATAAACTTTGCAATGGTTTCAAGGGGAACTACCATTAGACATGAGAGCAAAGTGAAAAATTGCTGAAAAAAGTATGTATTTGGTAGAGAAATGTTCTGTGTTTTCTATTCATTTGGAGCATCACTGAGGGCTAACCCAACTAACATTTCCATATACAATCTTTGCCTCTGAGCAAGGATCTCCAAGCCCGCCTGCTACACAAATTTCCAGGACTTAGTTTACACACACTTTTGGTTACTTCATATAAATGCAAGGCCGCAGAAAGTTATTAAAGAATTTGAAGCTTTAAAGCAGGTCTACTCAACATACAGCCCATGGGCCACATGCAGCCCACAGTCCGTTTGTCTGTGTCCTGCGGGTGGGAGCCAAAACAAAAAAAGTAGTCAATATAATGGTCTTTTGATATGCGTTTTAGTAGTTAAATTCCTGGATTGTCATTGCTCATTAAAAGTGTTGTTATATGGGTGGAAATCGGGTAAATATTGCATTTTATTAATATCAACAGAACTGACAGAAATGTGTGTTGTGTAGTCTTGCCTTAATCTTTGTATTTATGCCCATCAGTGTGAAAGAAACTATTTGCATGTATATGCAACCACACTTAAGTTGCGGCCCTCGTCATCTGCTGTGAGTATCATTGTGGCCACCAGGGCTTCGAAAGTTGAGTAGCTCTCCTTTAAAGTAACCTTGACTGGGAAGAGAAGCAACTCAAAGACCTGGGAAAACTACTTGTCATGGCTTGTGGTTAGTAGCAATATAAACCTTTAAACTCTTCAGTTCATTTAATGGGCCTCTTGCTGTTTGCAGTTTGGTCCCGGACTCTCTTTGCCATGACTGCAAGAGTAGAAAGGACAACCCTGAATATCTGGCAGTTTCAGCTTGTTCAGCATTCACTGTAGCTGTTCAGCTATATCATATAGAAGGACACTATGTTCATGCAACAGTAGTATCTGCTAGTTTTCACTCCATTCTCAAAAAGAAAGGCACTTGAAGCATTTGCTGTAGTTGAAGAGCACATAGCTGAATCCCCACCTGGGAAAGAGGGAGTTCCAGCAAGATTTTGTTCAGAAGAGTTCTACATGTGCGTTGGTTTAATTCTTACATAATTATTTTCCATTTGATTTGATATCATGCTGAGATCACATGAGCATTTGTTTCGGGAAGAAAAGAGTAAAGTCATATAAACTCACAGGAGTACCAAGAATACTGTAACAGGCCTTCACTAACAAAGGGGAAGCTGTGGAAAGATATAACAGTCATGGGAAAGGAGTCCAGAGATTTTTCTCTTAATTTGCTTTTCTTCTCATTTTTTAATTTCATAAATTAGAATGGATCAAAATGAAGACTTAATTGTGAAAAAGTGAGCCCCGTGACCCGGCCATCTACTGTAAAACTGACATCGGGGAAGGAAAGGCATGTATTCCACCCATACATGATGGCTGTAGAATAGTACTAGGCAACCTACAAAGCAAAAGGTTTATGGGAACATACATAGTGCCTTAAATAAACACAGGGGCTACATCTAGACTGGCCCCTAATTCCGGAAAAGTCATGCAAAGCAGGTAAGTCAGAACAGGGAAATCCGCGGGGGATTTAAATATCCCCCACGGGATTTAAATAAACATGTCCCCCGCCTTTTTTACAGCTTGGGGAAAAGCCGGAAAAAAGCGTCTAGACCGGCGCGATCCTCCGGAATAAAGCCCTTTTCCGGAGGATCCCTTATTGGTACTTTCAAGAGGAAATAAGAGATCCTCCGGAAAAGGGCTTTATTCCGGAGGATCGCGCCGGTCTAGACGCTTTTTTCCGGCTTTTCCCCAAGCTGTAAAAAAGGCGGGGGACATGTTTATTTAAATCCCGTGGGGGATATTTAAATCCCCCGCGGATTTCCCTATTCTGACTTACCTGCTTTGCATGACTTTTCCGGAATTAGGGGCCAGTCTAGACATAGCCAGGAAGTTCTAAAAACCACTTTTAGATTGGCCTTCCAATGCTGCAAAGCATAAAGAAGAAACAAGCATGGTACATTATAATTATAATTATCTGAGGGAGAGCTAACTCCCCAAGAGAAAGTTTGTAAGATGCTGGGCTATGCCATCTCTCTAATATGAACATCCCATTAGGCCAAGGGCTGCAAAGAGGCAGCAGCATAGGGTTACATATAGCAGCACTGCAAAGATCCTACTATGGAGGAATGAATCTGTTGTGGCCCCTTTATGACATTACAACACAGCTAGAGCAGCATACAGGGCATGGGCAGAAATTTGGAATTAAATGGACAGATGTAGTGCAGTGATTTGATCAGGGAAGGGCACTCCATTCAGTTTTATAGTAGGTTCTACCACTGACTTGCTGTGTGGGAAATTTAATCTCTATGACTCAGGTCCTCCCTCTCAGGAAAGGCAACTAAAAATAAGTTACCTACATTACCTCACTGGGGAGCTGGGAAGTTTGATTTTAAGGTGTCTTGAGATTTCTATATGAAATCCATGATGGCCCCCGTGCAGCAACTCGTCCTGACACAAGTACCCCTTAAAGTCTATTCACAGCACTGAGGCTTGCAGGATTCGTTTCATTTATATGTGTATATTATAACAGTTTTCATTTGCTAGGAAACATGCTACTAAAAGGCTATAGTCAATTTGCCTTCCCCTTTCATTAGTGTGTTTGAAAGACTTTGTTAAACACACACACACACACACACACACACACACACACACACACAGCCCCCTCTCATGCACATTTTTCTTAGCTTTCAGTAACCCTAAAGTTCACCAAATAAAAGTCATGTTTAGATATGAAGGCGACAAGTGTGTTCATAAATACGATGAATAATTACCACAGCAATACTTAGATCTATAAAATACCAGATTTTCTTCTCTTTAAAAATAACTTGTTTTACATATATATATAAGTTTATTTTCACTTAGCTTTCCCATCATTTCTCTGCACTTTATATATCAACTTGTATACGCACATAACTATCAATGTGGCATAGTTGGAGCTTCAGACAGTTAGAACAAGATACATCATAATTAGGTAGCATTGACCTTAATGCTCTAATAAATTGCAGGAAAAATAAGTTATGCAGTCAGAAAATCAAAAAGAACTTGTCAGTTCATAGAGCCAAGAAAGTGCAATGAGAGAGGAGCCAGTATAACAAATAAAATGCCAATGCAGAGCTTGATTTTTCAGTAGCATTTAACCCTTGATGCTTCCACTGAGACTTCACCTGGAATCTGGTGCTCAGTGTATTTGAAAATCAGGCTCAAAAAGTATCTAGTGTGTGGTTTGAGAAATATTTATACAACTGAAAAATCAATTAAACCAAATTCAATTAATTTTTTTAGTAAAGATGCCAAATCTAGCCATCCTTGTTCAATCATAACACACCTGAATTCAATGGCAATTTGTCTTGGAGAAGGATTGCCAGACATAGCTCAAAATTAGTATCCAGTGGAATTAAGAACCTTGGAAGGGTGCAGAGCTCAGAATGATTCATTTCATTTTAAATTTATTTTAACTTTTCCAGGGAAATCATCAGCTCAAGTGGTTTATATTTCCTTTCGCCTCTAGAGCTGCTCCTAAATAAAGAGTTGCTTTTTTTTCTACAGGACACACTAGGTAATGTGATACTGTATATAATTCCCAGAGGGTATGTACAACATAATTAAATTATAGGGTGTCTTGTGAGCATTCTGTCTGGCAGTTAGAGGACCAAGACAGAACTAACAATTTAGAGGGGTCTTCCCTCGTTTTATCTTTCTTTTGCGCAGGAAAATTATATTATATGCAGATTTATAACATTTGGACTATGCAGTCAAACAATTGCATTGACTAGCTAAACAATCTTGACTGCTTTAGGATTCTGAATAAACAGTCTATTTTAAACAAGGAACAATTTCTATTAACAGCAAATTCCTAAAACCTCCATTTTATATAGGTCTTTCTTTGAGGATGGGCAACTCAAACAAAAGCAAAATCCATGCAGGTAAAGAAAAGGCAGGCTTCTCTTTGTAAAGCATTCTGAAGTGGTTCAATTGGGCTGAAAGAGATTGAAGCAGATTTCTGTAAAGGAAAATGCTAGGACAAATTGCTTTTCTCCACAAAAAGTACTTTCCTGCAGAGATCTGGAAAGGCATTTTTAAAGCCTATATGGAAGCACTTTGGTCAACAATACAAACACAACCAGAAGTAAAACAACACATAAAACTGTAACTATGTTTCCACTCACCAAAGTGGTGGGCCTCCAATACACTATTCAGCAGGCTTTGTAGATGATGTCCACTACACACAAAGTGGCAGGGAGCGCCTGATTTGTTTGGCAATAAAAAGCAAGAAGTAACTGTCAGGAAGAAAGAACAAATGAATAAATTTCAGAGTAAAAATCACAAAATATCATAATACAGATTAAAAAAAACATTTGGTACCCATAGCCTTTACAGTCTGTTCTCCAAACAAAGAAAAAGAGATTTCCCATTTTTTTGGATCTGTTGTCTGTGATGAAATGTTACATAATTAAGTACAGGCAGTCCCCGGGTTACGTACAAGATAGGGACTGTAGGTTTGTTCTTAAGTTGAATCTGAATGTAAGTCGGAACTGGCGTCCAGATTCAGCCGCTGATGAAACTGACCAGCAGCTGACTACAGGAAGCCCGAGGCAGAGTTGCTCTGCCCCAGGCGTCCCCAAGTCAGCCGCTGCTGAAACTGACCAGCGCTGACTACAGGAAGCCCGAGGCAGAGTTGCTCTGCCCCAGGCGTCCCCAAGTCAGCCGCTGCTGAAACTGACCAGCGCTGACTACAGGAAGCCCGAGGCAGAGTTGCTCTGCCCCAGGCGTCCCCAAGTCAGCCGCTGCTGAAACTGACCAGCGCTGACTACAGGAAGCCCGAGGCAGAGTTGCTCTGCCCCAGGCGTCCCCAAGTCAGCCGCTGCTGAAACTGACCAGCGCTGACTACAGGAAGCCCGAGGCAGAGTTGCTCTGCCCCAGGCGTCCCCAAGTCAGCCGCTGCTGAAACTGACCAGCGCTGACTACAGGAAGCCCGAGGCAGAGTTGCTCTGCCCCAGGCGTCCCCAAGTCAGCCGCTGCTGAAACTGACCAGCGCTGACTACAGGAAGCCCGAGGCAGAGTTGCTCTGCCCCAGGCGTCCCCAAGTCAGCCGCTGCTGAAACTGACCAGCGCTGACTACAGGAAGCCCGAGGCAGAGTTGCTCTGCCCCAGGCGTCCCCAAGTCAGCCGCTGCTGAAACTGACCAGCGCTGACTACAGGAAGCCCGAGGCAGAGTTGCTCTGCCCCAGGCGTCCCCAAGTCAGCTGCTGCTGAAACTGATCAGCGGCTGATTCCAGGAAACCGGGGGCAGAGCAACTCTGCCTCGGGCTTCCTGTAGTCAGCTGCTGGTCAGTTTCATCAGCGGCTGAATCTGGACGCCAGTTCCGACTTACATTCAGATTCAACTTAAGAACAAACCTACAGTCCCTATCTTGTACGTAACCCGGGGACTGCCTGTAGTGAATATCCTTTTGCTGCCCAGATTTACCAGGCAAAGATACCAATCACTAGTGTCCAAGATGGGTTTTTTTTCTTACCCTGAATCCCATCTCTAATAGAAGATTCCCAAATTTTCTTCAGTGAGATTTTTCTTTATATTGAAAGCACAATTTTGGGGGAGGATGAAGAGTCATTTGGGCACAGCCACAATACATTTCTTTCTATCTGGTGAATGGATTGTTCTGTGAGGAGCCCCAGTCACAACATGAATTGTAGAAAACATAGGAGCCAACTGGCACTGAGAATGCAGATGCTCATTAATAAAAAAACAACTGGAACCAAATGATTGGTCATCCTGCCTAATGAGTTCAAACATCAGAAATCATTGTCCAAATAGTCCCACATCAGTAAGAGCAGAGACAAAGAAAAAAGAATACACTATGGGTACAAGTTCCTCTGAAGTCCATGGCAAAACTTCCATTGGTTTCATTGGGGCCAGGATTTCAAGTCATGTCTTTAATTCCAACAAAGGAATATTGAAACATAGGTCCATATAGTATTGTTATGTATAAAACACAGAATTGTTTTCAATTGCTATGAATGCAGCCAAAAAACAATGCTATATTAACATTCTGTATATTTAATGTTCTTGGTTGCATCCACTACTTCTAATGAAACAAATGAAAATTTGCAGATGGTTAAACAAAAGCTTTCTGTTTGTACAAGGCATTACTGAACAGGATTGTCCTAGAGATGTATAGACACAATGGTATATAAGTCTCTTGTCCTTCATAAAATAGCATGTGATTTAAAAAGCTCACAAAGTAAATTATGATTATACATTAATCATTCATGGTATCTTAGAAGGCTTTTAAGGTGCACTAGTTACATGATCAAACTAAAGGATATTCTAAGAATGAGTAAACTGAGTAGTTCTTTGGGACCTTAGGGTATGTCTACACTACCATCCTAGTTTGAACTAGGGTGGTTAATGTAGGCAACCGAAGTTGCAAATGAAGCCCGGGATTTGAATTTCCCGGGCTTCATTTGCATCTTGCCAGGCGCCGCCATTTTTAAATGTCCGCTAGTTCAGACTCCGTGCCCACGGCTATACGCGGCACGGACTAGGTAGTTCGGATTAGGCTTCCTATTCCGAACTACTGGTACACCTTGTTCCACGAGGAGTAACGGTAGTTCGGAATAGGAAGCCTAATCCGAACTACCTAGTCCCTTCCGCCTGGAGCCGCGGG